AGTCGCTGCGACAGGAGGGCGCGGACTGGTGATGCCACACTTCAGCGGGCGCGCGTCCTCACGGCACGCGCCTACGACGCCGATGCTGAGGACACCGACAACAACGAAGACGGCGCGGGAGTGGAGGCCGACGGTAGGGATGCGGAGGGCGCTGCGGACGCCGGCGCGGTCGTTATGGCCATCGACGGCGAACATGCAGGGACGCAACCCAGGCATCGGCGTACCCGCCGCCCGGCGGCGGCACCGCAACTCAAGGCCTCCTTCGTCGTGCGGCTCCGCTACCGCAGGGCACGCCCGGACCTGCACCTCACACGCAACTGGGTGATCGGGCGAATCCTCATTGCGACCTCCACCTCTCAGCACGCAACATAAAGGCTGTGAGCCTACCGCCCGGCGTGCCCAGGACGGATGTCATTCTCCGCGGAGAGGAGGCGTACCATCGGTTCTGGGCCGCGGCAAACAGAAGTCGCCTGGAATGCAAACTCAGTGCTCCGAGATTTCCAACTGCAACCGCTCCACCATGGGGATGTCTGCACTGTCACAATCTACGTCTGGTTGGGAGAGGCGAACCTCACCAACTTCGGCTACCGCACCACACAGGACGGCGATCTGCTGTACGGGCCCATGGACTATGAGGACAAGTTCGGTATCGGAACCTGCGAGGCTCGCGCAGTGGTGGCCTTCCGCCGCGACCCGGGTGGCCGCATCCAGCACCAACCACGTTATTTTTTCCTTGGGCCCAACCGCGCCACCGTCAGGTACGCCGGACAGCCGCCCGCCTGTTGCCAGTGCGGCAGTTACAGACATCTTCGCCGCAATTGTCTATCGGCGCTTTGCTCCCGATGCGGCACTCGTGGCCACGACCCCGCCTGGTGCTTCCGAGCCACCCGCTGCCACCTTTGCCACTCCGAGGAGCACACCTACGAACACTGCCCGGAGTCAGAACGGAATTGGGACCGCAGCCAAGCCGGCCTGGCCGTGCTGGCGGCGGAGGCCGTGACATCCAAGCCACCCGCAAGGGCGAGGCGCAGCGTCGCAATGAGGCACGATGGGAGAAGTGACGGCGGCAGGAATG